CGCGCAGGCTCAGCGGCCATGGCTCACGGGCCCAGCCGCTCCGCGGCATGTGGGATCTTCCCGGACCGGGGCACGAACCCGTGTCCCCTGCATGGGCAGGCGGACTCTCAACCACTGCGCCACCAGGGAAGCCCTCAGATTTGCATTTTTTGACACGTCATTCTGACCTCAGAGTGGAAGGGAGATTGGAGGGAAGGAAGGATGGAGGGAAGGTAGATGAGGGGAGACCAACTTGGAGGTGCGTGAGGTTGTCCAGATAAAGAAGAGAGTGTAGGGATTTTCCTGGCGGTCCAGTGGTTAGACTCCGTGCTTCCACTGCAGGAGACTTGGGTTCATTCCCTGGTGGGGGAACTAAGATCCTGTGTGCCGCGTGGTGCAGCCAAAAAAAAAAAAAAAAGGAAGAAGAGCTTGTCTGTCTGCTGTGCAAATGGAGAGAAGTGGATGGATTTAAGAGCTATTTAGCAGGTAGATGAGCAGAATGTGATGATGGATTAGATGTAGGGGTGGTTATGCAGTTCTGGTCATGTGGAGTCACCTGTATCAGACCAACCCCCTTGCCAATGGCAGTTATAAAAGCTGGACATGGGGCTTCCCTGGTGGCACAGTGGTTGAGGGTCCGCCTGCCGATGCAAGGGACGCGGGTTCGTGCCCCGGTCCGAGAGGATCCCGTGTGCCGCGGAGTGGCCGGGCCCCGTGAGCCATGGCCGCTGAGCCTGCGCGTCCGGAGCCTGTGCTCCACAGCAGGAGAGGCCACAGCAGTGAGAGGCCCGCGTATCGCAAAAAAGAAAAAAAAAGGTGGACAAATTATAAACACTTATTAAAGTCACTCAAGAGCAAGAAAATGAAGAGAGGAAGTTGAGGTGCTCCAATCTTCGAAATAAGGAAAGCACAGAAGTCGAATTCCACAGACAAGCTGGCTTTTTCCTTGAGTGCACTTGCCAATTCACTGCTCTGGAAGGGAACTAGAATGCAAATAGAAAGAGATCGTCGCTAGACTGACAAGGCAGAGGTTGGAGTCTGGGGTTGCCAGTGTCTGGAAAAAGAGAAGTAAAATCCTGGAATGCATGGAACTACAGAAAAGGGAGTCCCCAAATCTGCAAATTTCCTTCAAGTCATTGGCAAGCCGTACATGCATAGGGTGAGACTCCAAGGAACTCTACAGAAAATAGTATCTGGGAAACTACAGAACTGAGCAGGAATTCCAGCAGGCATACGACGCTGGGGGACCGAAGTTGCCACTTTGGAAAAAGAGGTCTCAGGCTTTCCCCTGGGACCACATCCTAGGAGTAAGGGCATAACTGAAATAGACCAGCCCTAAAAATGCCTACGTTGGATCTTCAACAGAAAGAAAACCTAATCCTCTCTGGCAGAATATAACATCATTTAGAGCTTTTACAAATAGTCGTCTGTGTCTGGCATCTAGTCAAAACGTACAAGGTATCCTGAAGAAAACGGAAAGGACCAACTGACCGGAAACCAAGAGAAAAATCCCACAATAGAAACAGACTTGTCATGAATCAGATTTTTTTTTTTTCCAGTAGGCGGGCCTCTCACTGTTGTGGCCTCTCCCGTTGCGGAGCACAGGCTCCAGATGCGCAGGCTCAGTGGCCATGGCTCACGGGCCCAGCCGCTCCGTGGCATGTGGGATCTTCCCGGACCGGGGCACGAACCCGCGTCCCCTGCATCGGCAGGCGAACGCTCAACCACTGTGCCACCAGGGAAGCCCATGAATCAGATATTGGAGTTACTAGACAGGGGAACTTTAAAAGAGCTATGATCAATATATTCAAGAGAATAGAGGAAAGGTTACTTTTTAGCAGAAATCTGGAAGCCACTTTTAAAATGATTCCAACAGAAATAAAGAACAGGAACTAAAAAAACAAAAAAAAGAAAAGGAACTAAAATTAAGAACTCAATAGATGTACTTACTGGATATCAGAAACAGTAGAGCAAAAGGATTACAGAACCAGAAGACAGGGCAGTAAGTAGTATCAGATGGGTGCCTAGCTATGGAGGATCAAGGAGTCTGCCAGGATTCTACCCTGGAGGACCAGATGGGGCCATCTCAGAGATGTGGAATTCAGGAGAAGGAGCAGTTTGGAGAAGATGGAGAGTCTTGTTGGGGGCAGGTAGAGATTCAGGTGTTTGATGGACAGCCAGGGGACCTCCAGGAGGCCCTTGGGTATACAGGTATGGAGCTGGGAGAGAAGTCTTACCTGGAGAGAGATTTCTGAGTTCCCAGCAGATAGGTAGAGATAAAACTGTGTCAATGGATAACATCCCATGGGAGAGAGTGTGTACCATGAGAAATGAAAAAAGGGCCTAAGACAGAGCCTGAGGATCACCCACATTTAGAAGAGTGACATAAGAAGAGCTCACAAAGGAGACCCATGGGTGGTATGAGACAGCTATTTTGGCAGTGATGGCAGCTCGTGTTTTCATTTTCACGGTGGTTCATATTAGAAGATGTGGGTTGTCAGCCTTTTAGTTATTTTTCTTTTGGGAGAGGGTGGGGAAGATCTGGCTTTGGAGGTAAGTGATTCACCTAATTACAGCTGCTGGCCTGCCAGTTGACAGCCTTGGCTGAGACAGCCCTCTAATTTCTCTAAGACTTGGCCCAAACTCAGACTCGGATATCTGGGGTCATGAACGGAAGGGCATGCCAGGCTTGGGAATGGTGTGAGCCAAGGCCTAGGCAGAGGGATGACTCTGGTGTTTCCAGGGAAAAGTAACTCATCCACTTGGCCTGGACTGGAAGGTCTGTGTGAGAGGCAAGTTTATCACAGATCAATCAAATGAGGCTTTGACTTCTGACATGATTGGGTAGTGTATTAAATATCTATTGCTGCATTACAGATTGCCCCAAAGCTTAAAACAAAAGTAAGCATGTATTATTTCACAAAGTTTTTGAAGGTCATGATTCTGGGAGTGGCTTAGCTAGGCGGTTCTGCATCTGTCATCATGTCGTAGTCAAGATGACAGTCGGTTGCAGTCATCTGAAGGCGCCCAAGGTAGCTTCATTCACATGGATGATCAGCTCCCATGGCTTTGGCAAAAGTCGCAGTCCCTCACCATGTAGACCTCACAGTGGAGCTGCTTGAGTGTCCTTACAACATGGCAGCTGGCTTCCCCCAGAGCAAGTGATCCAAGAGAGACCCAGGAAGAAATCTCAATGTCTTGTGGGATCTAACAAAGAAGTCACACACCATCATTTCCACAGTATCCTATTGGTTCCACAGGTCAGCTCTATTCCTTATGGGAAGGGACTACACAAGGGACAAGTACCAGGAAGCAGGGATCACTGGGGGCCATCTTGGAAGCTGGCTACCACAGGGAACAATAGAAGGGTTTTAAGTAATTGTTCATTCATTCATTCATTTAACAAATATTTATTGAATATCTTCTCTGGCCCCAGCCTTGTGCTGGGTTGTGTTGGGACATAGTAATGACCAAGACAGCCCTGGCCCTACCCTCCTGGGACTGAATCCATAGAAGGAAGCAAACAAGCAAACAAACAAAAAGAGTGGAAAAAAAAAAAAAAACACCAGGGAATTCCCTGGCAGTGGTTAGGACTCCGTGCTTCCCTGCAGGGGGCACGGGTTCCATCCCTGGTGGGTGTACTAAGATCTCAGAAGCCATGTGGCATGACCAAAAACAAACAAACAAACAAACAGTGAGGGAAACAGACTTGTCACAAGACAGGGATGACCCAGAGTGGGCAGGGCTGGGATTGGGGAGCCCCGAGAGGTACCTAGTCCAGCCTGGGAGGTCAAGGAGGGCTTCTTGGAGGAGGCAAAATTGGAGAAGATGGCCTCTGAAGAATGAGTAGGAGATAGGGAAAATAGGGAGCAGGGAAAGGGTTCTAGGCAAAGACCACAGCAGATGCAAAGGCTGGGCAGGAGTCAGCATATATACTCGGGGACTGAGGAAAACTGGTGTAGAGTCTGAGTGGCTGGTGGCGGGAGATGAGGCAGGAAAGGTGACCAGGACCCAGTCTTTGATGGAACTTGAAAGCCACGCTGAGTTTCTTGGATTTTATTCTGAAGGCACTGGGGACCCATGGAAGAGTGTTGAGCAGAGGAGAGGCAGGGTCAGATTTGAGTATTAGGAACATTCTTCTAGGGCTATGTGGGATGCACTGGGGTGGGAAGGGCAAGAATGGAAACCAGGAGGCCAGGGAGGAAGCTGGTATTGAAGGAGGTCTGACCTGGTCATGGAGCTGGAAAGGAGGGGATGGATTCTAGAAAGATTCAGGCGGTGGGATGATTAGCTGAAGGGTGGGATAAGGAAGAATTGATGCTGAAGTGAGTCCTCAAGGAAGCTGGGTCTCTAGGACTCTCCCCATGGAGTCTCACCCTTCTAATCCTCCCCAAACAGGCCAGGTTTCTACCTTTCCCCAAAGCCGTTACCTCGAATGTGCTTCCTGTGCCTCGTCAGATCTGAGCTGTGAGAGGGGCTGGGACAAGACCCTGCAGTGCCGCAACCCTGGAGAACAGTGCCTGGATGTGGTAACCCACCAGAGCCTGGAAGGTGAGCCCCAACCTGCCAGCAACTCCCCCTCCCTGCTTTGCTCCTCCCCAAGGCTGCACTTAACAACAACCCCCAAATAACAGGGATTTAAGCAAGGTAGAAAGTTAGTACTCACACAGAAAGTCCAGTGACGGGAAGTCCAGGGCCACTAGGACAGTTCCACAGTCACCAGGAACCCAAATGTCTTCTCATTTCTTACATATTGTTTCCATTCTCAAGATTGCCTCATAGTCCAAGATGGCTGCCTGAGCTCCAGACCTCATGTCCAAGTTCCAGGAAGAAGGAGGGGGGAAAAGAAGGGGCAAAAGGGGGGCACCCCTCCTTCTGTAAAGGTTCTCCTTTCTAGAAGTCCCATAAAATCTTTCTACTTAGATCACGTTGACCAGAACTTAGCCACTTGACTATACCTATGGAGGCTGGAAATTGTGTCTTTTGGCTAGATATATGGCTGCTCCCAATAAAATGAGGGTCCTATAATGAAGGATGAAGCAGAGGATAGATAGAGGACTGCTACCATGGGCAAATCCAATCTCAGCCCCTCATCAACAATCTGACCTCCTTCTCTGCCCCCAAAGAGAGTCCAGGGGATGAGCGCCACTCCCGAGGCTGTGGCAAACTTCCTGGCTGCCCAGGCCCCACTGGCTTCCACAACAACCACACCTTCCACTTCCTGCGGTGCTGCAACACCACCAAATGCAATGGGGGCCCAGGTAAGGGGCAGGGGATCCGGCATGAGGAGTGGGATTGGGGTGGGGAGGTGCACTCAGGCTGACTGCTGCTTGCTTGAAGGGAAACCCTCCTCTCTGTTTCCTTCTCTGAAAAGTGGACCTATCAAGCCCTTTCTCAAAGAAGGATTTTGTGGGAATTCAATGAAACTATCAAAGCTTCCCCAAGACCTGTGCTTTATGCTTCTATATCCTGTTGAATCCTTCCACTGCTCACCATCCTGGTGCAAGCCACCATGGCCGCTCACCTAGATTGCTGCAATGACCTTGCTGGTCCTCCTGCTACCCTACAGCCAATGTTCAACACAGCAGCAAGAGTGATTTTTTTTTTTAATAGATCTTCATTGGAGTATAATTGCTTCACAATACCGTGTTAGTTTCTGCTGCACAAGGCGAATCAGCCATATGCATACATATGTCCCCATATCCCCTCCCTCTTGAGCCTCCCTCCCATCCTCCCTATCCCACCCCTCTAGGTCATCGCAAAGCACTGAGCCAATCTCCCTCTGCTATGCTGCTGCTTCCCACCAGCCAACTCTTTTACATTCCGTAGTGTATATACATTGATGCTACTCTCACTTCGCCCCAGCTTCGCCCTCCCACCCTGTGGCATCAAGTCCATTCTCTATGTCTACCTCTTTGTTCCTGCCCTGCCACTAGGTTCATCAGTACCATTAGTTTTCAATTCCATATATATGCGTTAGCATATGGTATTTGTTTTTCTCTTTCTGACTTACTTCACTCTGTATGACAGACTCTAGGTCCATCCACCTCACTACAAATAACTCAGTTTCGTTTCTTTTTATGGCTGAGTAATATTCCATTGTATATATGTGCCACGTCTTCTTTATCCATTCATCTGTCGATGGACATTTAGGTTGGTTCCGTGACCTGGCTATTGTAAATAGTGCTGCAGTGAACATTGTGGTGCATGTCTCTTTTTGAATTATGGTTTTCTCAGGGTATATGCCCAGTAGTGGGATTGCCGGGTCATATGGTAGTTCTATTTTTAGTTTAAGGAACCTGCATACTGTTTTCCATAGTGGCTGTATCAGTTTACATTCCCACCAACAGCTTAATGTAAATCAAATCATGTCACTCTTCCTCGATCACTTCAACGCCTTCCCCTTGCTTTTAGAATGAAATGCAAAGACTCTCCTATGCCCTCTCTAATCCAGCATGTGTCTGTCTCATGGCCTTTGCACATGCAGTACCCTCCACCAGGAACACCTCTCCCCCAGGAGTTCACCTGGCTGGCTACTTCTGATTCGTTAGGTCTCAGCTTTAAAACATTGTCCTCAGGGGAAATTTCCCTAACTCTGCCCTTCAATATAATCTAGATCCTTTGTGTTATTCTGTCTCTATAAATCACTACTGTCCAACAGGACTTTCCATGGTGATGGAAATGTTCTGTATCTGTACTGTCAGATATGGTAGCCTCTACTATATCTGGCTTTTGAGCACTTGATACTTGGAAAATGTCTCCTTTTTCTTTTTCTTTTTTAAAAATATGTCCACATGTCGTGAGCTTTCAAGTTTTCTTTTAAAATGAACTAATAGATTTTTTAAAGTCTCTTGGTTTTCATTTCTAATGCAGTAAATATCCATAGATATAACTGACATAAGCAATAATTTTTTATTATTTAATATTAATTTCAATGTCAATGTAAACAACCACATGTGGCTAGTGGCTACCATATGGGACAGTGTAGCTCTAAATCGTAAGTTCTCTGAGGGCAAGGACTGTTTTGTCTTACCCTGTGTCTAGGCAGGTGGGGGCTCGTGGGGAGCTGAGGGTTGGAACTTCTCTCGCAGGCCCTAGAGAACCCCCCCAAAAGAGGGTGCTGTTCCAATGCCTGACCACAAGAGGGCTCCATGACATCTAGGGCTGAGAGTTGGGAGTCCTGGGGATGTAATGCTGTGAACTGCTCATGCTAATTTCTTTGGTTTCTGTGTCACTTGGTCTTATTCCAAGTCCTGGAGCTTCAAAACCTGCCACTGAACGGCTTCCAGTGTTACAGCTGTGAGGGGAACAGCACCCATGGATGTTCCTCTGAAGAGACTTCCCTCACTGACTGCCGAGGCCCCATGAATCAATGTCTGGAAGCCACTGGCACTAATGGTGAGCCATTAAGAGGCTGGGAGAGGATACTTATGGGGGGGATGGGGGGTTCTGCAAGAAGTAACTTCCCATGAAGCTGGACTTAATTGAGGTGGATCATCCTGTTGGAGAAGGTGGGACTTCCTTCAGGAGGGTGCAGAGTGCAGTAAGAAATTAGGACTTGTTCATTAGGAAATGTATACTTGGGCCACAGAAATGTGGATTTCTTTGGGGGTGGGACTTCCGTGGGTGGGTGGGACTTCCGGTGGACCTCCCAGGATCCTATCCTGTGAAGTTCTGGGCAGGTTCCTTTATTCCAGAGGTTCTCAAACTTCGGGCTCTCAACATTCCTTCTCGCTCAGAAAAATTATTGCTTACGTCAGTCATATCTATAGTATTTGTTCATTTTAAAAGAACAATTGAAAACTCACGACATGTGGACATATTTTTATGAAAGAAAAAAAGGAGACATTGTCCAAAATGAAAAAATTGAACGAGAAGACTGGCATTTTTCTACCATTTTGCAATCTTTTTAATATCTGGCTTAATAGAAGACAGCTGGCCCCTCATATCTGCTTCTGCGTTCAGTCTGTTGCAAGATCACATGTCCTAGTGTTTCTAGGAAACCCCCTGTGAGAGCACAACACATTTGTGAGAGCATGAAAAGGCAAATGAGGTTTTAGCTTTATTACAAGAATAAGTTTGACTTCACAGATCCCCTGGAAGGGTCTGAGGGAAGGAACCCCAGGTGTCCCAGGACCACACTTAGACCTGCTGCTTTCTCCGGGGGTACCCACCATGAGGTAGTATTCTACCTGGGTAATTCTCACTGGGTACCAGTATTCTCACTGGTACCCAGTGAGAATTCCAGTCCCAGGCCCGAGAGCTGGGAGTCTCACATGGTCTTCTCTCTCCACAGGACTGGGGAACCCAAGCTACACCATAAGAGGCTGTGCAACCCCCTCCTGGTGCCAAGGCCTCCATGTGGCTGAAGCTTTCAGGCTCACCCATCTCAACGTCTCTTGCTGTACTGGAAATGGCTGTAACCATCCAGCCCTGGTTACCCAGCCCCACACGGGGGGTGCCCCCCTGCCTGGCCCTGCACACCTCAGCCTCTTTGTCACCCTGCTTATGACTGCCAGACTGTGGGGAGGTACTTTCCTCTGCACCTGAACCCCACAATCCCACTGCCCTGGCTGGATCCAGGGGACCCCTTTGCCCTTCCCTTAGCTCCCAGCCCTACTGACTTACTGTGTGACCTCAGACCAGTGTGCTCCCCTCTCTGGGCCTTAGTTCTCCCAGCTGCCGAAGCACCTATCTCAGAGAACTGTGAGAATCAGAGGAGAAAAACTAGAGGAAGGCTACGGGCCAGCAGGCGAGAGCTCTTGTGATATTAATATTGTTGCCGCTATTATTATTAATTAATATTTGTTTTATTTAATATTTTGTACTTAAATAAAGATTTTTCTATCAGTGAACAAAGCCAGATCGGCCCTTCTCCAGAGAGGACGATTGGGGGACACCTTTCCTCAGGCTCCTGGAATTAGGGGTCATATGGTAGGGCCCAAGCACTCGAGGTCCCAGCCTTGGGAGCTGTCCCATGCAGCCTTCCACCCTAAGCCACCTCCACATCTATTTCTGGGCTCCAAATGCAACCTTCCAACTCACTCACCCAAGCACTAACCTTCCAGTCTCTTCTCCCACATCCAAAAGTCCAGACTACTTTGTTGTTCTAAGGAGACATGTCTGCATTTCCTAGGGGGCTCTGAGATAGGAGATGACTAGGAGATGACCCCTGGGTGCCCTGCAGTGAGGAGTAGAGACTGGACCTCATTCCCCTGCTGCCCTGGGGGCAGGAGATAAAGGCTGGGCTATATTTCCTAGGATACCCTCAGACAAACTGAGAAAAAGACAGAACTACCATTTCAGTGGGACTGAGTACCATGGCAGAATTCATGTTTTCCATGGTTCGCTGAGACAAGCCCACAGACACAAAATTACGTTCCCCTGGGGCCCTACGGCTGATGAAGAAAAAGGACATTTTCCGTTATATTTGGGGGCAAGTGAAGGACAGGGTTTCTTTTTTTTTTTTTTTTTTTTGGGATTTTTTGTTTTTGTTTCTTTTTTTTTTTTTTTTTTTTTTGGCTGGGTTTGGGTTTTTGTTT